GACTTATTTTTTGTTTGGACTAAGTAATTAATCTAAGTAATTAATCTATCTATATTGGGCCGCCAGGCCCGCCCCGCCAAAGCCCACGGCCCGCGCGGGCTGGCCCGTTTAGGCCCGCTCCCTAGCGGGCCTCTAATATCCCAGCCCAACCCACTCTTTTGGCGGGGCGGGGTGGGCCGGCCCGCGGGCCTCAGCCCGTTTTGACAAGTCTACTCCAAATCCCTCGAACCAAACACAGAGTAAATGACCAAAGGAATGTAAGGGATGGTCTAACCAAATTTACTGCCAATCAAGGCACTTGATGAGGATCAAATCCGGTCGACAAGAAGGTCTTAAGGGCAGGGATTAATATCCAAAAATAAGTGCTTGCTCCATTCAAAATTTGAACTGAAAAGAATTGCTCAACCTTAATTGACATGGGCGGATTTTTGGTAAGTATGGGGTCGGTTTTCAAAGCTATATTGGCCGAGTTAAGGTCACACAAAGGGCTGGACAAATTCGAGAAATTCTATAAATCGAACGGGGCACTACAATCTACCCTCATTAAAAGAATTTCGTCTTCGGAATTATAAAACATAAACAAAACCAAATAATACCAAGTACAAGGGGAAAAACACTCATAACCTAAATTTCGGATACTTCCTCCAGATATTGGTCTCCCTCTCCCAAGTCGCCTCGGCCTCGCCATGATGGCTCCACTGCATTTTGACGAGATCAATCGCCCGGTTCCTCAGTTGATGCTCCTTTCGGTCCAGTACGGCCACCAGTACCTCCTCATAGGTAAGGTCTCGCTCGACCTGCAACTCACCAAAGTCCACCAAGTGCTCGGGATCATGTACGTATCTCCGCAACATTGAGACGTGGAATACGTCATGCACTCCCGACAAGTCAGGTGGTAAAGCCCACCGGTAGGCTAAGTCGCCGACTAGCTCGAGTATCTCAAAAGGCCCGATAAAGCACGACTGAAGTTTCTCCCTCTTCCCAAAGCGAACCACACCCTTCATCGGTGCAACCTTCAGGAAGACATGATCACCTGCCTGAAAGTGCAGGTCCTCCCTCCGATTGTCGGCGTAGGACTTCTGTCGATCCTAAGATGTCTTGATTCTCTTTCGGATCTCCTCAACCTGTTCCGGCATCCTCTTAGTAATGTCCGGACCTAGAATCCTTCTCTCGCCGACCTCATCTCAATATAATGGGATCCTAACCTTCTGCCCGTACAATGCCTCGTACGGTGCCATCTGAATCGAGGCCTGATAACTATTGTTATAGGCTAACTCAACCAACTTCAATGACTCCTCAAAAAACATACCCCTATCGAGTACCACCAATCTCAGAAGATCCTCTAAGGCCTGAATCGTATGCTTCGACTGCCCATCGGTCTGAGGATGGTAAGTGGTACTAAATGCCATGTTTGTCCCCATGGCTAGGTGCAGACTCTTCCAAAACTGCCCAGTGAAACGTGGGTCTCGGTCGGATACAATCTCTACAGGAACCCAATGGAGTCAGATTATCTCATCAATATACATCTTGGCGTAGTGACCATAGTCATCGTCGTGGTCATAGGCAGAAAATGTGCCGACTTGGTCATTCGGCCCACAATCGGGTATAGCATTCTTCCCCGATCTCGATCTAGGTCGGCCCACTACGAAGTCCATTGCGATTCGCTCCCATTTCCACAAGGGGATGTCTAGTGGGCGAACCAAACCAAACGGCCTTTGGTGTTCGGACTTCACTCGCTGGCACACTAAGCAGCCATCTACATATCTCGACACGTTCCATTTCATTACTCTCCACCAGATGGACCTCTTCAGATTTTGGTACATCTTCGTACTCACGGGATGAACGGTATACGGAACATTATGTGCCTATCTCAAGATCTCCATTCATAGATCCCACACCTTCGGAACACAAAATCTCCCTTTGAAGACTAAGGCCCTATACGATGCGACTACGAATCCTCCAATCCAACCAGCCTCCATCAAATCTCTCATCCAGCGTAAAAAAAATCATTCGGTTGCTCGACGACTATCCTCTCTCGAAGAGTCGGTCCTACAACCAATGCTGACAACACACCACTAGCCGTCGAAGTCGACTCCACTGCCTCCAGCTCCAGTCGCTCAAACTCCCTAGCTAACACCACTTTCCTAGTAAACAAGCAAGATAACTCTCCATGACTTTTCCGACTAAGGGCGTCGGCGACCACGTTAGCTTTCCCGGGATGGCAGCTAATCGTGCAGTCATAGTCCTTGACAAGTTCTAACCACATCCTCTGCCGCATATTGAGCTCCTTTTGAGTAAATATGTACTTCAAACTCTTGTGGTTGGTGAAAATCTCGCACTTCCCTCCATAAAGGTAGTGCCGCCAAATCTTCAAGGCGTGGACCACTGTGGCTAACTTCAAATCGTGTGTCGGGTGATTCTGCTCATGAGGCTTCAACTGCCTCAACGCATATACCACCACCTTCTCGTGCTGCATCAACACACAACCCAAGCCCAACTTCAAAGCATCACTATAGATGATGAACTCCAAAGTTGGATCGGGAATGGCCAAAACAGGTGCAGTAGTCAGTCTCCTCTTCAACTCTCGGAAACTGGTCTCACACGCGGGACTCCAAATGAACTTTCTCGTCTTCTTCGTCACCTAGGTCATCGGTTGAGCTAACTTCGAAAACCCATTGATGAATCTCCAGTAGTATCCCTCTAGGCCCAGGAAACTATGAATGTCACTGGCGTTATTCGATGTCTCCGACTTGTTCACCGCCTCGATCTTTCCCAGATCTACCTCAATACCTTAACTGTCACATTGTGGACAAGGAAAGCCACACGATCGAACTAGAACTCGCACGTCGAGATCTTCGCATAGAACTTCTCCTTGCGATGCATCTCCAGCACAATCCTCAGATGCTCCTTGCACTGCTCGAGGTCCCGGGAATGCACCAAAATGTCGTCGATGAACA